AGCTTTTATAAAAATATACAAATTGCACTTTGTTGAGACTGAACTAATGAACTAAGACTGAAATTAAGACATGCACTAGGACTAGGATGTCTAAATTGGCTCTAATATTTGCTTGAAAATCATCAGCTTGAAAATAAAATTCGTAAATAAAGCGTTTGTGCTCTTGTTTCGAAATGAAATAAAAAAATACAGAATGTTTAGAATTCCTGTATTTTTAAGATCAAGACTTCAAAATTGGTAAGTGAATATAAAGATTAACAAAGATGTAGTGACCTACTATTTCTTGCAATGCTAGGTGAACAAAATTTCTTATCCAATTTTTTTCGATTTGAATGTTACTGGGACCTTGGAGCTTCCAAGAAACCATTGTTCACGTTCAATTGTAGGAGATGTATAGAGTCTTTCAACAGGGACTCCCGTACTGTAATGTTTCATATCACATATTTTTGAAGCTCCTAACAAATACTTCACAACCCTAGTATATAATGTCAATGTCTCCAACTACTACAAAATGGCGGAACATTTAATAATTTCCTAAATAAAAACACTTCAATATCGATATTTCTAGATTTTTTTTTTTTTCATCTGCCATATGGCGATTCCAACAACCCGATAACGTTTGATAAGTTATTTTTTGTTTATAAAAACGACAAAAAATGTCAGTACGACAATGGACATCATTTTTTAGTTAAAATATTCTCATTTAGTTTTCAGTTTTACTGGTGGAAAGGTACCACGTCAACAATCTCTAAAATGGTCAATTCTCGACCATTGGAAGAAAAAATTGAAGCGATTTTTATTTACGGTGCGACGCGTAACTTTCACGAGACCGAAAGGATTTTCAATGAACGTTTTCCGAATCGTCCTATCTGTAGAAAATATTTGAGGGAACTTGTTTCCAAATTCACAACTAACGGTAGTGTACATAACAAAAAGCCCCCAGGTCATCCGTCCATTCCGGAACAACAGCACGTGCAAATAAATGGTGAGATGGTTGTAAATCCTGAACAGTCTACTTATTCCGTCGCGAATGTTTGTGAGGTGTCTCCATGTACTGTGTGGAGACTTTAGAAGAGGGATAGGTGTGATCCATACAAAATTAAAATGGTACACCAATTAACTGAAGATGACCCTGATCGATGAACAGAATTCTGCGAAATCATGACGGAAACCATTGCAAGGCATTCTACCTATCTCGTGACGAATGTACATTTTTTCAAACAGCAATGTTCACAGACTAAATTGCCATTATTGGAGTGACACCATCCCTCACGTTTTCCGGGAAACACATACCCAATATCCAGAAAAATTAACGCTTGGACAGGAATATTGGGAAACCATATTGTAGGACTCCTATTTATTGTTCAAAATTTAACAAGAGAAATGTATTCGAATATGCTGGAAACTACTGTTGACCCTCTCATTACTGAAACCGTCGAAGCGAATCCTAATGAATTCGATATGGATATTGTATTCTAACAAGATGGAGCACCACCACATTACTCCAGATAAGTAAGAAACTATTTGGATACTACTTTTCCTGGTCGTTGGATTGGCCGTCGAGGTCCTACAGAATGGCCAGCCCGCTCGCCAGCTTTGACACCTTTGGACTTTTTTATGGGGCTATTCGAAGCAAAAAGTGTACGAAACTGAACCTGCTTCAATATTGGATATACGGTAGAAAATAATAAATATTTGTGGATATATTGACGTACGATTTGTCCCCGTTAGACTTTTCCCTGTGGAGTTTTATCGAGTCGCCGGTGTATGCAAATGAGCCACAAACCAACCAGCCATAACCTTGACCAATGAATAATTTGATCTGTCCCAAAAGGTATCAACAAGTTCCACTCTGTCACAGGATAATTGAAAAATATTTCTTGGCTGCTAACCCAGAAACACTGATAAATACTCATATTATTAACATTGTTCTCAAGCACGTTGTCACGATGACAATGTGGGAAGACATGTTTGTGAATTATCATTTTTAGTTCTGAAACATTTTGTTCATCGCAGCTGAAGGTCTCTGTATTCTCAAGAAACAAACACTTCATTGTGAGATTTTCACGAAACAGTTTAATTAAAAGGCAACATGTGTTTCGCTATACAAAAACGTCTTCAGGCGTGTCTTTACTAACCCTCTCTGTAGCTTGTAGCTTTCCAACATTTCATTCTTTTCAGTCAGAACAATGCTTTCGAGACCAACCTGTAGTAGGTAAATAAACTATTCAGGGGTCAATACTCGAGTTCTGGCGGGTACATATCGGTTCTCACAGGAAAAATGGACCTCGTAAACCTTCGAAAACACCTACCTACAGGTGATCTTTTGATCTTTTGTCACGCTGGAATTTTAATGCCCATTCATCACAACCGACATGCTTTTTTTGCGACTTCATTGTACGCCTCAAGGTTGGTAATGTACATAGTATGGAAGCCGATTCCATTTTACAGGATGGTCAGTGAAAACATTTCAATGCCAGCTAGTGTCGTATGAACCATTTCTCGAATCGTTAGAAAAAATTGAAAATAATGAATTTTATTTCATATTGGGAGGCAATTTCTTCATAAATATTCGAAAGTGTGATGCTTCGTAATTGCTCGACAAATTTGGGAAAATTATGATGAAGTACTTGAAAACATTTAAAACAAATGCACTTTCTGAATTATCCATTTTCATTCAATGAAATACGTCAATTTAACTAATCCACAGTTAATCAAGAAAGGTTAATGCAGCTTTACTGCATTGACTTTTCTTGATTCTGTATCATTTCTAGCAACATACGGATTCGTTTTCCGATGACATTCTAGGAAAGCTTTCCAAATTTCTGCCAATGCAGTTGTCAGTTAATTGGTCAAACCACCAACGCTTTAGCCCATCACCAGTATGTTGCAGTCAAGTGTAAGGATGGCAAAAACTTGGTTACCAAAAGTAAAAAAAATGGACGGAGCCACCAGCAGGAGCCAGCCGCTGGTGGCTCCAATAATATTGATCTTCTAAGTCTGATTAGTTATTAATTGGGTTCAACATTTGAAACATTTCAAGTGTAGATTGTTGAGAAAAAAGAATATCGATATTAATTGGCACTAATTCAATAAATTACAACTTTTTCAACTGTGTATTAAACAAATTTGAATAGTTCACTGTCATAAAATTAATAAAAAACAAAGAGATACTTCACTCTTGCTTCCACGTAGGCTCATCATATTTGAAGTATTTTATGTCGAACCTCACTACAACTCACGAAACTTAACATACTTTCGTCAGTTTTCATTTTGACAAAGTTTACTTTTTCCAAGGTTCTCTTGCTTTTATTATGTTTATTTTCGCAGTGCATATGCATAATATTGGGTTTCTACAAATATCATGAGATGAAACGTAGTTTAATATTTATCACCTGTAAATATTATGACCTAGATGATTTGTTTGTCTTGTCGTGTTTGTCTTTACTAGATATCTAGGAAGTTATGGTTTTGATCTTTTAGTATTCCATGCTTGAAAATGGTTATGATGTTCTGATTGATTCAGCCGTTACTTGATGAAGATCCATAGTAATTTCAAAAACAAAACCTCACGATTTGACGTCCACGTCTTTTGAAATACTCTTCGGTATTCTCAAAAGTACTTGGTAGGTTACTTTTTAGTCGATTATTATATCGAAGTTATAGCTTCTTTGAAAAATATAAGTTGACTTCCATTTAGAAGTGAGACCCCAAATTTCAACTCAGCTGTTGATGCATGCAAACTGACGCTGTTTTCCTATAATAAGGGTATTTCAAAAGTTCAGCAAGTTTAAATGTCATGTGTTTTGATAGCTCAATATATCAATGAACCAATATCAATATATCAAGGAACCCGAAAAATTAACCAGGTATTTCGCAATGATAGTGTTAATGAACATACTGGTTGGGGTGCTGAATTTCATTCCGGTGATTTAAGCATCGAAGTTGAACCCCGTAAAGTAAAGTACTCAGTAAAAACACGCCCGAAGAAGCCATTGTATGGCGAAACACGTGTTGTGTTTTTGCAAAGCTTTCAAGTGAAAATCTCACAATATAGTGTTTTTTGAAAACGTTAGTTATGGATTTTCATCAAGTATCGGCCAATTCCATCATATATCGAATACTTACTTCATTATATGGAAATAATATATCCATACAGCTTTGAATTGGGTTTAAAGCTCCTTGCGTGTGTTTAGAGATTATTCATTATAATTTATTGTATGAATTGAAAGAGTTATATTTTTATGGGTGATTAATTTTTGGGAAAGAAAGTTTTTGGCTTTCTACTACTCCATCTTGATACAAAAAAAGATGAGGGAATCTTCCAAAGAAAGGAAGAAAGTAATCAATTCGAAAATAGGTAACTCTATACATGGGTGTGTAGATCATGCAAAGAAGTAACTTTCAGATACAAACTGAAAGAATGTCCTCCTGAAACAGCTACTTTCATATAAATATTGAATTACACGAAAAAAAAATTCTTTCGAAACAAATACTTCTATATGAACACTGAATTATACAGAAGATACTTTGGTCTACTCAGTTTGTATTTCAAACATTCATTGTGGATTAAAATCAGATATCATTCACATGAGTTCTACTTTAAATGAATGGTAACAAATTGCACTTACATGGAACACTGTCATCCTCACTGGTATACATCGATGTTTCGCCGTAAGACACTTGCCCTAAGGCTCTTCATTACCAAATTGGATAACATTATAGAAAATACACACAATTCATTCATGAATTACGATTTTTAATGTCACGGAATAAGCTTGATCTGCTTATGTCATCGATGACATCGTAATGACATTCATTCACCTATTTGATTCAACCCCAGCCAAGAGGAGGTTGAAATAAGAAAATGGCATTTTCGACGATCTTGCATCTTTAAACATATGAGGGGTGGCTGAGTAGAAGTATAATTGATTCATTCGTTACATGATTTTTGTAATAATTTCTGTGTATGATACATGAACGAAAAAGTATGCACATACCTTTGGAAATACTTCATCAAGTATATCGACGTTGGATTCGAGTCCTTCTGACCATAAATGTGAACCCAAACTGGTGAAGTTTCCACTAAGAAAAGTGTCGGTAATATAAATCTGTAATATTACGTGTAGAAAATTCAGTATTTCGCATAAAACCAGCTTATTTGACCATCCTCTGTTCACATACATCCCTTGCAGAAATAGATTTCGAACTTCTTGGATTTTCTGTTCTCTGAAACAACAAATTTTTCTTTCATCCCTCATATATATATTTTTGTTGCCCTCCGACATTATTAGTTAAACACTTGGTACAAATGACGTGATTCTACTTATTTTTTATTTATTAATTTTTTGTAGTGACGCCGCCATTATACTCGTATATGAGTTCAATATCTACAGTCACACCTGATGACTGATTTATTGAATAAAAGTATTGGTACCTTTGAAGGTGGCTGGCAAAGTTTCGTGATGAATTTCATCAGTTTGGACTCCCATTGTCCAAAATGATATAATAGTGAAGTCCCTGAAAGAACAAATAGCATTGAAATGAATAGCTGGAAATAAGAACATCACCTTCACAATGGAAAAGGAAGTCCACAACGAATTGCCATTGGATGTAATGGTGAAGAGGACCGACGCTACATGGTAAACATTTATATAGCGAAAACTTACTCACACGGGACAGTATCTGAACCAGGAATCCAACCACTATCAATCGACTAAGAAAGGAATCATCAAGACTCTTGTAGACGGTGTAATACGAAGGAAAGTCTCGAGAAGAAACTAGGCATCATCAAAAAATATCTTCATTGGAGTGGTTACTCCAAAGTGATGGTGGAACAGACTTTGGATAGAAGACAGCAAAAGACTCGCAAGGAAAAGAAGCCGTCACAACCAGTGCTTGTACTTTTACTATATCACAGGATTGTCAAAAAGTATAAAGTGAATTGGGCCCAAGTACAACATCAGAACCTGCTCCAGATCCGCAAACACCATCCGTAGCAGCCTCACGAAAACCAGGTTACCAAACGCGGGCTGCGATTGGTGGTCTGGTTGCATTTACCGGATACCTGTGAGTGCAAAAAATCCTATATCGGTGAAAGTAAGAGGCTATTGTAAGTCTCTGTGCCGAGCACAGAGAAGCACAATCGGGAATAGCAGAGCATGTTTGGATTCATCAACATAACATTAAGTGATTCCAAGCTAAGAACATTCACAGGGAAGACCACTGGTTTGAGAGGAAGTTCAAAGTAGCTGCATATATGTTGTCCAACGACACATTCAGCCAAGCTAGTGTAGAGTTACGCAACATATGGACACCCAAAATCGAGCGGAAAACGGTCAACTCCCCCTGTTAAACGGTCATTTCCCGCTAAACCGGTGAAGCGAAGGAAGAGGGGGTAAATAGAGCACTCGACTGACCTATAAATATTCATCTATCGGGAATCACCCGAAGGCGATTGTGGATACTAACAATCGAAACGTTGTGAAATAACTTGAAATCTCTTAATTTTTTATTTCGTTTCAATTTTTGAAATTTTGCCTATTTTTCATTTTATTGTGATGTATTTTCAGAGTTTTTTGCTCAATAATTTTCAGCTATTAATTTCAACTTTATTTTTATTTAAATCTAAAGAAATGAACTATAAATGTTCAAGCTCAGATATACCTACACAGTAGCTTGAATGGACTGACGCCTATCAGAAAACTACTCCCCTGGCTAATACCACAAATGGCGTTGGATTATATCCAACAGGCGTCAGTGCAGTAATCTCCACAGAAAATTTCCTGCATATGCAATTGCCGATAGAACTGAAGGATGTGACCCTCAATTTTGGAACGGGCACACTTGCAGATCGGTTTCGGTCTCCTTAACCACTCGTCAGTGCAAGATAGTGACTATCATCGACTTAAAGTCAATGATATTCCACAATTGAAAATCGAAATTGTTTCAGAGTATTTCATTCCTCGTCCTAAGTTGCAGCGAATAACAAAAATGTCACTCCATCTAGTGGACGAGGTACTAACCAACTGCATATCCGAAATTTGCCCGATTCCTCTGAATAAGGAAGAACTAATGAGAAAGTTAATTTTATTTGGTTTTTCAGCGATTTCAAATCATATTAGATGATGGAAGTTCGAACTAATGAGGGAGTCAAACAACTGTTCAGAGGTAGAGGACCTCAGATTCTTGTAATTTTCAATGCTTCCATATTTAAGAATTTCTAGTACTCTCTAATATAAGATGTTTTTTGGTGGTCCACTTAACATACCTTTCTGCTTTACTGGGAATTTTTAACTTTTTATCTTTTTCTTTGAAGTGATATTCCTTCTCTTCCAAAGCGTATGCTGCAAATTTCAGCCCATCAACTAAGTACCTCAATCGTCCTCCTGCAAGTATTATATAAAAGTAGAAATGGCCTGAGAGTGAATTTATGAGATTTCTGTACCTTCCATTTTTTTCCATAAGATATGGGTCAAATAGAACATTATAGCTTGGAAAAATAAAACGAAGGGGACCCATTGGTAGTAGGCGTGTCNCCCTTTCATTTAAAAAAAAAATATATTCTAGACGCATAGAAAAATTCTTCTATTCGATATTTTTACACATTTTTTTCAAATATTGCTTAACTTTGCAACCGAAAAATATCTGACAAAAATCACATAACTTTTTTCAAGGAAATATTTTCTATCTTTCTTACTTTCCAAGAGTTCATTGTTCTATGTATGTATTATTGAAGCACTGATTATATTGGTATATAATATATACATAGTATATACATACATACATAATACATACACAGTGCCTTCATTTCGAAACTTCCCACCCCTAGTACTTCGTTTATCAGGGAGAATTTGCAAAAAACACGTTAATTTAGATATCGAGGGGGAAGTTCAAAACCAGAGCCAGTGGTATTTTAGGTTCAACCCCCTTACCCCTAGCTTCCCCCACTTATTAATTTTAAATGGCACCCCCTATCCTGTAACACATCATTTTTAAGATCTTAAAAATCCTCACTCAACCCCGTTTAGAAAACTGAAATTGGTTGATCCGTCCAAAAAGAAAATGAATTATAACAAAATGCAAAAATTTATGAACCGCTACCACTGGCCCAATTTTACGAGAACGGATCAACCAATTTCGGTTTTCTTAACGGTGTTGAGTGAGGATTTTTTAGATCTTCAAAATGGATGTGTTACAAGAGAGGGGGTGTCGTTCAAAATTATTTAGTGGGGGTAGCTAGGGGTAAGAGGGTTAAACCTAAAATACCACTGGCATTGGTTTTAAACTTCCTCTCGATATCTAAATTGACGTGTTTTTTGCCTACGGAAAATTCTTCCTGCTAAACGAAGTACTAGGCGTGGGAAGTTTTGAAATGAGGACACTGTATAATAAATACATATTACAAACCTAGTACATACCTAGTACATACCTAGTACATACCTAGTACATACATAGTGCAGACATAGTACATACATAGTATATACGTAGTACATACATAGTACATACACGGTATATACATGATCAGACTTTGATTAGTGACGTTTTTTGGCATTCTATTAACAACTCACCAGTCAGCTGACCACTAATAGTCAAAGGTCTATTACAATATTACGAACTCGAGTCAATGTGGATGAACAAAGAAGTATTCCAAGAGACAATTAGATATTTCCTTCTATTGTTGTTGGGCACCAAGAAATAGGATTATCTATGTTGGTCAACATACTAGTGCTAGGAAAGTGAAAACAGAGCTGAGCTTTCAAGATCAGTTACAGAATAAAAGTGTTTTTGGAACTTGAATAATACTAGTTTTTGGGATTTTTTGGAGATGAAGTTCTATGCCTCTTCAATTGAAGGCTGTTTTAGTGTTCTTGTAGATTTCCCATACGAAACTGAATTTTCGAAAAGTTCAATAACTGAATGGGTTATTTCGAATCTGATCAGATATTTATTGGTAGCTTTTCCCAAACTGACTTGAATAACTATGAAGCATTTGGATAAATGTCTAAATTGTCTGATACATTCGCTGAAATATTTCTAAATATGACTCATGAAAGTAGATATACTCACCACGGTGAAAGTTGTTGTGAAGAAACAAAAAGTGTTCATCACATGTTCAGGAACACCTCCATCTGCAATGCATCTGATATGTTCCCCGATGTACTGTCTTGAAGTCACCAAAATTGTTGCGATCAGAAAAAATAAAACCGAGGCTTTATAATGTAGTTTGAACACCCAGTTGTCTATGATATACTGTTGTGGTGCTAGTTTGAAGTTCGATTTGATGACACTGAAGGTACTCACCAAGCTCATGATTCTTGGATACTATTGGCTGAAACAGAAGAACCAAATTGGTGATGTAATCAAAAAACACACTTTGATGTGAGATTTCCACTTAAAAGTTCACAAAAACCCGGCACGTGTCACATGTTTCGCTATACTAGTGTATCTTCGGGCGTCACAATAGTGTTTGTACAGGTTCTGTATCAGGAGCGGATCTAGGAATTTATTGAGAGGAAAGCGCACTTGAGATATATGTTTCACTACAATAGGTTGCCTTTTATGTTTCGGGATTTGGCAACTCTAGTGTTGCAATCTGGCAACTGACAGTTCTATCGTGAAGTTGGACATTTTTGAGCTTATACGCGCGCTATTCGCGTTGTTTACAGTTAGTTAATAGATTCATCTCGGCCCATAAATGGAATTAAATCGTGAACTTTTTCGTGCGATTATTTTTTACAACTTTCGACGTGGATTAACTCAGCAACAGTGCATGGATGAACTTAATTCAATTTCTGGCGATGAAGCTCCAATAAGTATTTATCGATGGTATGGTGATTTCAATCGTGGTCGTGGTTCACTTCAAGACGAATTTCGTGAAGGTCGTCCAAAATCAGTTGTTGTTCCGAAAACCATTGATGCTGCTTGATGCTGTGCGCGAACTGATATTGCAAGATCGTCATATGACCTATCGTGAGATTGAGATAACCTCAGGCATTAGTGGGACCAGCATACATTCAATATTGCAGAAACATTTGACTGTCAAAAAAAATTTGTTCGCGTTGGATCCCACACAATTTGTTAATCGTTTAAAAAAGGGCTCGTGTCGATTGGTCGAAGGAAATGCTCAAAAAATACGATCGCGGTGCTTCGAAACACATCTATGACATCATGACAGGTGATAAATCGTGGATTTAAGCGTATGAGCTCAAAATAAATAGCAGTCGACTGTATGGGTGTTTCAAAACGAGTCAAATCCAACAAAAGTTGTTCGCGCATGAAGCACTTCCAAGCAAATGGTCGCCTGTTTCTCCGGAAAAACTGGACATGTCGCAACCGTACCACTAGAACAACGCAGAACAGTCAATTCTGAGTGGAACACAACCATTCCATTGCCAGTTGTCTTCCAAGAAATCAGGAAAACCAACCGCCGAAGACGGATCACTCTTCACCACGACAATGCGAACTCTCACACATCGGCCCAAAACATCGATTTGATGAGTCATCCGCCGTATAGTCCTGACTTGGCAGAATATAAAAGGCAACCACATAAATAAATATTGAGATGTTCATTGAACATATTTTTTATTTGAACTAGTGATAGTTCTTTTATTTGAATAAGTTGAGAGGACTCAGCAGGAATCTGTTTATCGGTTGCGGTTTGATGATAGGCAAGAGTGTAGGACTGGCTTAGGCACCACAATTGAACATTTTTTGCGTGCAAGGGGGGCTTCCCGCGACCCTTGGCTGGATCCGCCACTGTTCTGTATCAGCTTTCATAATAATTTGAATCATTATGGATATTTTTACGTGACAAAATTTTACATGATGAAGTCATTACTTCAACTATTTACCTATCTAGGAACAACTCATTAGACTGGAGAATACTGAAGAACACATATTTTCATCTGAGCTATAATTTTACCCACTTTTGAGATCTGTCCTAATTACCAATGTCCTTGTTACAAACTGAATTCAATGGAGGGAAACATTTAAAATCATTTAGCAATGATCCCGTGTTAGGAATCACACGTTAAAAGGTAAGACCTCGTTAATCCTTAGCTCGCACAAGTTTCGACTTCTGAGGGTTGTCGTTCGTAGGGGTGCGACAGCTGGTTAACGGAAAAACAGATTTTAAAAAAAAGTGTAGTTTGATATTCTCCTAACCAAATTTCTGATCCGAATTCAAGTTTCGATCTGACTAATGTGTAGTACAAAATCTTTATAGCTTCTATATTGGAAAAATATGATGTTTGTCTTACTATGAAGCCTAACATGATACGGTTTGTTGATTTAATTATATTTTTTACATGATTTGAAAAGGATAGTTTATCATCGTATGTAATAGCCAGATCTTTCATTTCCATAACGCTCTTTAACCCCTCTTCTTGCATCATGTCATCAAATAGTATCGGATCTCTTAACCTTGTTATTCTCATAACACTGCATTTTTTTATTGAAAAATAGTTTATTTTTACAACTCCATTCGCAAACATATTGCAAGTCTTTCTGCAACATAACATTGTCTCTGACAGTTTCAATTTTTTTTAAATCTTGAGATCATCTGCAAATAACAAACAGCTTGAGTACCTGAGAACTGAGGGCAAGTCATTAATAAACATAACAAAGACCAAGGGTGCTAAATTGGATCCTTGTGGTACTCCAGAATTAGCTTCATATTTCCCCGAGGTATTTCCATTATGCTTAACCACTGAAAATCTATTTTCAAGTTAACTTCAAAAACATTTTGAGTATGCTATCAGAGAGTCCAAACTCATTCATTTTTGTTAATAGTACATCGTGATCAACTTTGTCAAAAGCCTTTGTAAAATCAGTAAATATTACATCAATTTGTGACTCACTCTCAAGTGTTTCATACCCTGTAGAAACAGAGCTGAATAAATTTGTATTAACAGATTTTTTGGAAACGAAGCCATGTTGCTGAGGCATTATACTATTCTCAACATATCCATATAATCTTGAATAAATCATTTGTTCAAATAATTTCGAAGGTGACGATAGAAGGTTTCCAATAATAAGTAATAGTTGTATATTCGTTCCAGTTTTAGAAACAATTTTACAGTAATAAGGTTTTTAGTTCCGAAAATAAATAGTAATTTTTGTTTATTCCAGACCATACTCTTATTGATCTTTTATTCATGGGGGCATTCGATTGAAAAGGTGAAGAATTGTAAATTACGTCACTTGTTGTGTGTACATATTATTTAGATTTTTGCTTAATAAACGCTTTTCATATCATTGAAAATGATAATAAGATAGCAAGTTTCGAGCATTCTTTTCAACTATTGACAAAATTTGATATCTCTGGGAATTTTTGAAATTTCGAAATGTTCTTTGACTTGAATAACTGATAAACTTCGAATATTATCCACAGGTGGTAGATTAACTTGTTTGTCTTTGTCATCAGAAACTATTTGTTGATATCAAATATCAATATCGCATTTGATGACGTGAGAACCGATATAAAATACGTTGAAATCATTGAAGTGTCAAATACTGTTTACTCTGAAGTGAATATTTCAAAGTTATTGTTGAACATTCCATACTGACTAAGCGGAAGTTATTTAGATCAGGATTCTAACCCCTTATTTAGTTTATTCCATTCAGCCACAATTGAACTTCATATTAGTGAGAATGTCATGAATGATCTGAATCCTCTTCATTTCGGAATATTGAAATGAACTGATCCAAGTAACTTTGTGAAATTTTCACTGTTTTACAAAATCGCAACACGCTATACGTGGACCATTCAAAAAATAAGGTGAATGTTCAACTTTCGCGAGCTATGTGCATTCGATTAGCAATTTTTTTATTTGTTTATGTTGGTACACTCGTCTGGAACATATGTTCACCGTTAAGGATGTTTAGGATGTTCAGTTTGTTGGTGAGAGGCATAAAAGTTAGGAGTATTTAGCTTGTTCGGCGATTTTCTGCTAGCAAGAAAAATTGATCAAAGAAATTGCATCGAATTTTGTGTAAACAATGGAATTGAGTATAATCTTCTACCTCATGCACTGAAGATAATGGATATTACTGGAGTTTTTTCCCAGTAAAAAACTCCAGTAATATTCATTACTACACCAAAGGTTCCAAACAGTACATCATAAGTACTGAAGATAATAACTAGTTTCCATAAGTACAAACAAAACATTCCTTCCTGAGAAATCCAAAAGAACAAAATGGTTTAGACTTTCACGGTTTTCAGTGTCATTGATTTTCGAGTTTGATATCCGTGGATTTTTGGAATTTCTTCCTGAAAAATTTAAAAATATTTTTCTTCAAATAAACTTAAAACAATAACAAACGAAAAATACTAGTATTATTGTGAAGAAAGCGTGGGCGTTTTGTGCCATATAAAAAGTGTTTTTAACTTTTTAGTTCGATGTTCTTCAAAAGCGCGTGTTTTAGTTTTTTAAACTATATTCATTGTGAAATAATTGCATTCACAGGGTGTGAGTGTCAAAAATCGATCATGCAATAATCTCCCTCATTATAAAGTAGTGTAAACTATTACGATGCATATTGAATATTCATAATACATACTTGAAATCCTAACACTATATCAGTAAACTTTATTTAGCGTCAGACCAAAAAGCACTAAGAACTGCAACGATTTTGGCATTTCGCGTTCAATTTAGAGTTAACTGGACCTATCTCGGTAGGCTTCGTTAACCTCATTGACCGATCCTTTCATGATTCACGGTCTGCTGTATGAAATAAATTGATGCTGCTGACAATTGATGACAAAGTAAGGCGAAAATCAAAATTGATTTGAAAAATAAGTAAGAGGAAAAGTAGGTGTGGCACAGATAATTGAGTAATTTGTTGATAACACGATTTGTTTAATGAACGGTATTTTTTTTCAACAGATTTGTATATCAAATGTCATTGTAAATTAGCGATGATCATGAAGTGGAGTTATTTTTGTTGGAATATTTATCTGTTTATAGTGAAAATCTACATCATTGGCAACCGGTAAATTTTGTGTAACTAGCGTACAATTATTAGGAAAACAAGATAATCGCTTCCTGCAATTCTCTCTCCTACCCGTTGTTTGATATTTGCATTACATAATATGAATCCATTTGAAGTTATATAATATAATGATGAAATTGAACTCGTAGTGGTATAAAGTACAGAAACAGAATATTTTAGAATACTTTTTATAAAATAACCACTCAAAACATTATTCATTTGGACAGACAGTTTTTTTGCACGCTCAGTCTCAAAAGACTACACTATTTCCTGAAAATTTGGACCGAAGAAGACCAAGCACAAGCTTTTATTAACATACTCTAAATGAAAAAAAATCGACTTCAAATTGAATCTATTATTATGTTACATTATACAATTCATATTTAATATATGCTTTTTGCGACATTCACCTATTTTATGAAAAAAAAACATAACATTGCGTTTGATATAAACGGAATTAATTATCAAATGTTTTCTTCTGTATTTGAACAAAGAACTTCAATTAAACATATGAAGATATCCAAAAAAGAGAACAATGTATTCACATACAATTCAGGAACTTGCCCAAAAAGGGGAATTTGTATTATTTAACAACTTTTTTAATAGCCTTGTACTAAGATTCACAACAGTGACAACTAACAACTATCTTGGATATTTCAATTAACTAAATTTTGTAACCAATCGTAATGAACGTGTATATTTCTAATGAAAGACAAAGACATAGTATGAATATCAATAGTAGATGGAAAACTGTAGCATGGAAATTGAA